CCAGTTTGTACAGACACGCATACACACACATACACACGCATACATACTACATACATATATACGTATACTCGTACAAACACATATCCTAATCGTCATCATCATCTTCATCATTGTCGTGATCATCATCATTACCATCCTTCTCATCATTGGTCATCATCATCATCATTACCATCCTTGTCATCATCGTCGTCGTCATCATCATTAACATCATTATTATTCCTCATGGCCTTCGCATGTTCGCTAATTCTTGGTTCCATAAACAAAGCGCGCTGATGGTAATGATGATGGTGTATGGGATGATGATGATAAAAATCCTGATGATGATTATGATAATAATGATGATAATTTGGACAGTAATTATGATGATGATATATGAGATGATGATGGTGATAATAACCACAACGAAGACGTTCATTATAAATGACGTCATCATCATTATCATCACAAACTTCTCCATCATCATCATCATCATCATCACAAACTTCTCCATCATCATCGTCATCACAAACTTTTCCATGATCATCGTCATCACAAACTTTTCCATCTCATCATCATCATCACAAACTTCTCCATCATCATCATCATCATCTCGTCAGTGTTGTTGCTTATAATGATGACGTTTTAAAGATGGACAAACGACGGTTTAACCTGCAGGCGAACGTCATTCTGAAACAAAAGACGATGATGGTGATGATGATGGTCGTGTTGATGATGATGGCCGTGTTGATGATGATGGTGGTTGTGTTGATGATGATGGTCGTGTTGATGATGATGGTCATGTTGATGATAATGATGATATTTATGGTGACGGTGATGTTGAAATTTAGCTTTTAAACTTATATTTCAACTACCGACATAACTCGTTTTAGGCAAAACAACACAAGTTAAAATTAATTAAGATTTATTTAATTGATATTTATTAAAAATAAATCAGTTGTAGAAGCAAGGCAATTATGATGACGTTGATAATTGAGATGACGTCAGGATAAAATAAATTCACTTCAAGTAAATATAAATTGCAATAATGGTTCAAATATCACAGTGACAATAAAATGAAAAAAGTTATTTAGGACAGATTCCGTTTGGGTATGTATTATAAAATGCCTCTTTCATTTTCGAGTCAATTAACATAACACTGGGAAGTTGGTTTCCAATTGTCAGCCAGTTGGGTCGCACGTTGTGTAACCTGCCAAAGAGTTCAATCTTTCTTGTTCCTGGGGAGAACCTTTCAATAATTCCGTAGATTTCATCAGGTTTGCGACTCGTATCTCTGATTTCCGATACTATGACATCGCAATCTATACCTTTGTTGACCGTTAGGTTTCCCTTCACTCCTACTAGACAATGTTCTTTCGAATGGTTTAGCCAGTGTCCGGTACGACCGGTTCTAATGACTTTTTGCAACTGGTTTGTTTTCACCCAGATCAGTTCATCTACCTTTTCATAGCCCCACAGTGTCAGACATTCTCTTCCTAATTCCATGGCTCTGCCAGTGACCCATAAAAATATATATCCGTCATCTTGTAAAGAGGAGACATCGAGTTTCTTCATTACGTCATCGGGCATAGTTCCATAGGGCAGATCCATGTGAATGTCCCAGGGTGGGTCTGCCATGACGATGGAAAATTTACCTAAAATTTTAAAATCAAAATAACGCAAATCGCATTGTATCCACTGCGGAGGGTAAGATTTTTCTCTCGACGGCATCTTGAATGTTACCTCGTCTTTCTCGTCCTTTTCATAGTGAATGTACTTGCAAAAGTTCATGTTGAAGCACATGTTCTGATACTGACAATCACCGAGCGATTCATCAGTATTCGAATGAATAATCTTATTGAAATGCCGCTCATTGCAGTTGATTTTATTTTTCAGGCATTCCTCTTTCGTCGTAAATGTACAGAATTTTCTAATCTGGCTGGCATTTTGTGATTGAAATTTCTCTAATTGCCATCTTTCTCTTGTGGTCGGCTTGTCTAGAAGAGCCAGGATCTCAGCTCTCAACTCGTCGGTGGATCTTTCTTCCACCTTCTGGTTTTCTAGTACTTCCTCTACTGCGTTGGACATAATTCAATAAATATTCAAAAAATGAAAAATCGAAGAATCCAAGAAATGGAATAAGTCTGAAGTGTCGGCGGAAAAATTCGCTGGAGGACTCGAGATTCTGTTAGGAGCTGAATGATAGATCTAAATGCAGCACCGTACTTATATACAATTCTTTCCTTTGTTGATTGGTTTGCTTTTTGTTCTTCGTTTTTTTGTTCTTCGTGATCGAATATCTCTTCAAAGTTAATAAAACTCAATTATGTAATTTTCTTACTTTGTTTATTACAGTGTATAATTAATTTTTCTTTGCATAATTGATTTCACTTTGTATAATTCATACTTTGGTAAGTTGATTTACAATTCACTTTTTATTACTTTGTGTAATTCACTTTATTATTATAATTAATTTTTCTTTGTATAATTGATTTCACTTTGTATAATTCTTACTTGGGTAAGTGGATTAATTTACAATTCACTTTTTATTACTTTGTGTAATTCACTTTCCTTTGTAAAATTTATTTCACTTTGTATAATTCATACTTGGGTAAGTGGATTAATTTACAATTCACGATTTATAATTCACTTTTTTATAACTTTGTGTAATTCATAATTCATTGGGTGGATCATAATTCTCTACGTAGCTAATTCACGGTTCTTTATGTAATTTGCAGATGGCAATGATGAAAATGACGACGATGACGACAACCAGTGAGCAGACGACAATAAACGCAATTAAAAAAAACTGCATCTCACAGACGTTACGTGATAAAATAATTTTCAAATCTACCAAAAATCCGACAACGTTACTGGCCGTCCAGAATTAATATCGAGCTCTCATTGGCTGCCTGAGATAATTTAGAAAGAATGAGATGCTGCGTGATTGGTCAGTCAGGAATTTATGGCGGAGTTACGTGAAAATGGTTTTGATATATTTATAACTGCTGATAGATTGCTTTTGAATAAACGTTATTTAAACATCGTATGTTAATTTAATGCCAACTTATAAATGTTGTAATTAATAATTAAAAATACCAATAATAATCATAACCATTATCACGTGATCATAATAATCATCGTCGTCATTGCCATCATCACTGTTACTTCTATTATCATAAAACATCATCCTCGTCGTCTCGAACGCCAACAACACAAAATGGTTTCTAAAGCTAAGCTGACTTCATTTTTGATCAGTGACATCATATCGTCATCATCATCGTCATCAACAACATCATCATCAACATCATTGTCACCATCAACATCATTATCATCAACAACAGCAACATCGTTATCATCCTCATCATCATCATCATCATCATCATCGTTGTTCTTATCAAATCTGGAACCTATGACGTCATCATCGTCGTCGTCATCATCTTACAATGATAATAAAAACAATTATATTTATAATAATAATTATAATAATAATAATAACATTGATATCTGTAGTAATGACAGTAGCAGTGATGGTAATGATGTTGATGATGATTGCGACTTTAAATATGTTATAAGAAAAAAACTAACTACTACTGCAACCACTAGTATTAATACTACGACTACTACTACTGCTGTTGCTGCTGCTACTATTACTACTGCTTCTACCACTTCTTCTGCAAATACTAAATCATCATCATCAGTACCATCGTTGTCAGTTTCGTTCTCAACGACAACTGCATCATTATCATCACCCACATCATCGTTATCATCCACATCATCATCATCAATGACATCAATGTTGACGTCATCGTCATCATCATCATTTTCACTCACATCACTATTATCATCACCAACTACAGCTATAACTCAACTAACACATAACCTGCATCATCATCATCATCATCGTGAAGTTGAAAATTATCATTATCATCATCAGCATCAGCCACCATCTTATTTCTTTCCTGCTGATTTTGCCGATAATTGCATTGAAAAATTTGAAAAACACTTCATTTTAAACGAATTTATGAGTAAAAAACATCAACAACAACTTCAACAACATCAACAACAACTTCAACAACATCAACAACAACATCAACAACAACAACAACATCAACAACCACAGCAAACTATACAATGTTAGTATAGATAGCAAGAAGGAGGTAAATTATATTAACTAATACTACAACTGCTGCTACTACTACTACCACCACTACTACTACTACTACAACTACCACTACTATTACCACTACTACTTCTACTGCTACTGCTGCTTTTGCGGCTGCTTCTATTACTACGCTTTTCTTTATTTATTCAACAGTAAATACAATAATACTACATGTAAAGTTAATTTAAAATGAATCAATGATGATGATGATAATAATAATAATAAAATTAATATTAAAAAAAATAATAATATCAACAAAAAAATGGAATATTATAATAATAATATTTATTATAGTTATAATAATAAAATAATAATAATGAAACCACAAAACCAACAGTCCCGAACCCAAGTAGCGTTTACTTACACCGGTTCATGTTCAACGCCCAGTCTAATCTTCATCATCCTCATCGTCAACATCATCACCACCACCATCATCATCTTCATCATCCTCCCTTCCTCATAAGCAACAGCATCAACAACGACGATAGTATCAATAACAACAACAGCATCAACAACAACATCAACAATAGTAGTAATAGTAGTAGTAGTAATAATATGATGGAGCTAGCGAGACAGGTTCTTCTTGTTCTTTTTTTCATTCGTTCATTCGTTCGTTCGTTTGTTCATTCGTTTGTTTGTTCATTCATTAATTAATTTATTTATTCATTCATTCTTTTATGTTTTCATTCATACGATTGTTCATTGTTTGTTGTTAATTAATTAATTAATGATTTCATGAACGAACAAATGATTGAATGAACAATCGAATGAATGAGTGAATGGATGAATGAATAAAAAGGTTTTCCCCAGTCACGTGATTCTCAGCAACTGTCATGGTGGCAGCAACGGCTCGTCCAATAGGAGAAGGAAGGCCAGAACTGTTTTCAGTGACCAGCAACTGAATGGTTTGGAAGAAAGGTTAGAATGAATGAATGAATGAATGAATGAATGAATGAATGAATGAATGAATGAGTGAGTGAGTGAGAGAGTGAGTGAGTGAGTGAGTGAGTGAGTGAGTGAGTGAGTGAGTGAGTGAGTGAATGAATGAATGAATAAATGAATGATTAATTAATTGATTTATTAATTAATCAATCAACCAACCCACAAACCAATCAATTGATCGATCAAAATTTTTCGTTCTGTCAATAGATTCGAATCTCAGAAATATCTTTCCACACCTGAAAGAGTTGAACTTGCTTCATTACTCAATCTCTCCGAAACGCAAGTTAATTTATTTCTTATACGTTATACATATATAATTACACTTATATATATTTTTTATAGCAATACTAAATATTTTGGACGAAAATTTCATTTAAACTTCATTGAACCATTAAAATTTGTCAACTGATAACTGATTGACGTCCAAACATTACAAACGACATTTTCGATATTTTCAAATCTTATTTTACCTCTTCAGGGCTCAGTCAATTGTTTTAATCAATAATTGACTGGGAGGTTCCCAAAAAATGAACATTTAACGTAGATAACACCGCGTCCTCCATTCATTCCTCACTCAAAACTACACGAATTACTTTCATATATTACTAACAGGTGAAAACATGGTTCCAAAATAGACGAATGAAACAAAAAAAAGTGCAGAGGAAACAGCCAGACCAAGTAGATCAATTAGATAGATATTCAGCAGATGGCTCGCCCCCATCGCCCTATCCGGATTCGAACAGGGGCAGTTCGAGTGTTAGTTCCAAGAATGCTGAAGCCCTTCATACGATTATTCCTATCAATGTTTCACCGGATGGATTGGGAAGGGTTGCTGTTGCTAGTAACAATGATGTTGAGAGATTTTTGAGTCACAATCATTTTGTTTTGAATAGTAAAATGGGTAATTTTCCACAAAATCTGCAAATTTCTACGGCTGAGTTTCATTTGTGATGTTTGGGCAGTATAATTTTATTAAAAATTGTGTAATAAAATACTAAATAATAATGTAAATTTTATTTTAAAAGTTTGAAATATTCGCAGAATTGGATTAAATTCATCGAAATGTAACTTTTTCATACTATTTCGTTTTTCCATAAATTTGTAATCTTTGTGTAGTCAACGCTTTTATTTAAAAATTTAAGTTCACAGACTAAAACAAACATTTGTTGAACGTGAACTGATCAGTTTTTGTTTCAAAGTTCTCTCAGGTCGATCTAAACAAACAAATTTTTTTCATTTTAAAATTATTGTGTAAATAATTTATTTATAAAAGTTTTCGCCGCTTTTCGTTTTCATCGCCTAACTTTAAGAAAATATTTGTTTCTCTACACTACAGACACTCACCTTTTATTTTTTTTCCATGGAGGTTGTTAATGTTAAATAAAAGTTAAAAATTAAACTTATTAGAAAATCTACAATTTAATTTATTAATCTCTAATTTATAATTCGTCAGTCAGTCGATCACGTGAGTCACCCGGTCAAATAATTTTTCTTCAATCTGATTATTTAAAAGTTAAAGGTTGGTTGTTTTAGAATTTAAAAATTTTTAGAATTAATTATGAATAGTAATTTTTTTTAAATTGATTTTTTAAATTTAATAATTTCAACTATTGTGCTATTAAAAAAGGTGAAATTTCAATAAAAATACACTAAAAGTTTATTCACAGTATTTTTATAATATATGTAAGTTGTAAGTAATCTTTTATAAGTAAATTTTAAGCTTATAAATTTGAATTTCTTCAGACATCATATCATAGTAGTAAAGTAAATTCACTCACAAGGCTGAAATTTAGTTGGATGATTAGTCGCTCATTGGAAATGAAATGATTAAGTCTTTAAATATTATTTTGTAATATTTAAATTAAACATAGTATATTTTAACTAACCTAACTGATTCTAAGTCTACTAAGTAATCTATCTGTTTCATTTCATTATTTATTTATTTAAAAATTCTTAATTAGTGAAAAAGTGCCAAAAACCCATTCTTTTCCTCATTCTTTTATTTCATTTCACTCATTTCTTCATAATTTTCTTTAGTCTTCTTTGAATATATAGAGTTTTTTATTTAAGCCAATCATTTTTTAACAAAAGACCAAGGTTTTTCAACCTAACTTTAATGTATTTGAGACTATATGTAATTTTAAGTAATTTTCATATCTTATATAAACTACTGTATATGCAATATATATAATTATATAATTTTTACAATATTCTATTATATATATATGTATATATAATATATAATATATTTACACAGTTTTTATACTTAAGTATAATATATTTAGTTTACTATGTATGTAAACTTTATTAATATTAATTAAACATTTATATTACATTTAATATGCATATATATAGTATCCTTAATCTACTGTTTACTACTACTACTACTCCCTTGTATGTATGTATGAATGTTTGTATGAATGTTTTTATTATGATTGTATTAGTGAGTAAGGTATTGTATGTATGTATGTTTTGTTTGTATGTTATATATATATATATATATATATATATATATATATATATATATATATATATATATATATGTATATATAAGTGCAAGGAAACATGGGAACTTGATTTATATAGTGATTTTACAGATTAAGCAATTATATCATTATCATCATTTCTGTTGTTTTTCTAGCAGTTATGATAATGATAACAATAAATAGGAATAATAATAATAATTGTTATTATTGTTATTGTTATTATTGTGTCCTGGTTATGACATTAAACTGACCCTCACTGCCTTGTGAGTGATGTTGGATCATCAAAGGCTAGGCCCACCGCTTATAACTGTGGTTGCGTAAGGAAGGGCGTCCTGCGTAAAAATTAGCCAAATAAATTACTTATGATGACAGAAGTGACAATGGTTTGTTTCATCATAGGTAGCCAAACGGCAACCCCCGATCTTGGGGAAAATGTCGTCTAAACGTGTGTTGTTTGTTGTTGTTATTGTTATTATTGTGTGTATGTGTATGTGATAAAACTGATGGTGCTTGCTTATTTAATTAATCATTAATTGGACATAATAGGTCATCATAATAATTTTTATGAGTTTATTGTTTGTATGTGTGTGTGTGTTTGTTTGTGTGTGCGTGTGTGTGCGCGTGCGAGTGTGTATGTTGGCATGTTTTTAAGTGTGTAATCACTTGGAAGTTTTCATGTAGATGAAGTGCTTTAGTTGAATGTAGTTGGGTAGTGTTATACAATTATTTGTGTAGTGTGTATGAGTTTGTACAATGTTTGTATGTTTGTATGTATGTTTGTTTGTATGTGTGTGTTAGAGTATTAGTTAGCTTGTTTGTGTATGTATGTATGTATATATGTATGTATGTATGTCTATATATGTATGTATGTACGTCTATATATGTGTGTTAGTGTTTAGGTTTTTATAACACTAAATAATTGTGCTGTAGAATAGAAAGAGTGCTCTGTTCCTTTATTCTGTGTGTTTATTCTGCAAAATTTTGAGATTTGCCTTATCAATGTTTTGTCTGGGTCTGTTTGTGTGTGTGTGTGTTTGCGTGAGTTTGTGTGTTTGTGTGTGTGTATTGTTGATTACTAAATGGATGAATGAGTGAATGAATGAATGAATGATTGTATGATACGATGATACTGAATATAAGTATGATATGATACAGTAAGATACTATATGATACATTTTGATGATGTGATATAATGTGTGCTGCTGTGTAAATCATTTTCGAACTTTTTTTCAAGTGGCTGAAAGTCTTAGGTGTGTTTGAAATTAAAACAATTTCTCAGGAATTTCGAATTGCGTTAATTGAACCAATGAGTGAATGAAAGAAAGAAAGAAAGAAAGAAAGAAGGAAGGAAGAATGAATGATTGAATGAATAAATACAAGAAGTATTAATAAAATGATTATTTTGTCAATTTTTGGTTTGAAAAACTAATTAACAAACGTTGTTATGAAGTTGACTGAATGAATGAGTGAATGAATGAATGAATGAATAAATGAATGAATGAGTGAGTGAATGATGAATGAGTGAATAAATGAACGAACTCATACAGATGAGTAAGGTTATCTTTTTCATAAAACTTTAATAGGCGTGTCTCATTATGTTTTTGTTTACTATTAAAAGATCATGACGTTATTCAGATGCCAATGGTGGTGATGATGGTGATGACGACGATGTTAATAATAGTAATAATAATAATATAAATGATAATAATGATAATAATAATAATGAATATGTCTGTTTCTGTTTTGAGTGGTAATATATGCAAAGATCTCATAGATATATAACTGATGATGATGATGGTGATGTAGATATTGATGATGATGATGACTATGATGATGATGACGATGGTGGTGATGATTGAAATTGCTGTTTCATGCAATATAATGAGGTTAATAATCATAGAAATTGTTTTATGGGATAGTTGTCATGGTAAGATTTGTGTCCTAAGCACGGACACACGCACGTACACACACACACACACACACACACACACACACACATATATATATATATATATGTGTGTGTGTGTGTGTGTGTGTGTGTGTGTATTGATTGAGGCAATAAATAAATAAATGAACTGTGTCAAATGTAGCAATTTGTTTTTCTATATAGGCCACATGAATTTTACGTGCATGCCCAATGAATGAATGAAAGAATGACGTTTCAGTGAATGATTTTACGCTAGAAGGATTGGACAAACGAATAAACGAATGAATGAATGAACCAATGAATGAGTGAATGAATGCGTTGTAAGGTGAAAATATGAAAAAAATGAGTAGTAACACTAGAGACATGGATCAATGTGTGAATGAATGAATGATCGAATGGATAAATGAACGAATGGATGAATGAACGATTGAATGAATGAATGTATGTGTAGATAATTTATTTAATTGACTTCACAACTAGTTAGATTGGATGCAGCAAGTATGTCTATAACAAATATTTCATAAAATGTTTTTATTCCACGTTTCAAACAATTCTAAATCATCATCATTATTATTACTATTTTAAAAATATATTATTATAATTTATTACTACTATTACTACTACTACTACTACTACTACTACTACTACTACTACTGCTACTGCTATCATCATAATTCTACCTTTCCTAATTAAAGTTTTCAGCTAAACCAGCATTAAGAGCCTAACATGTTTGAACTCAATGAATTTCTGTTATTTTTGCTTCTATCTGTTTCTCTTTCTCTCTCTCTCTCTCTCTCTCTCTCTCTCTCTCTCTCTGTGTTTCTGCTTGTTTATATAGTATTTATTATTTAAATAACTAGGTATATGTGACAATAATGTGGAAATGTGTGCGTGTGTTTGTGTGTGTGTGTGTGTGTGTGTGTGTGTGTGTGTGTGACTATTGGCGTTCAGAGTTGGCTGTGTGTGCTTCATGTGGGGTCCTTGGACTTTTTTTATTACAATATTTTAATAATTATATTTAGATTGATGTGTATGTGTGTGTACGTGTGTGTGTGCCTTTGTATATTTGTTTAATAATTAAGTACCGCAGCAGCAAGAATGTATGATGTAATTCATTCTCTGTACATTGTTATTTTTGTAAAACCTTTTGAAAGAAAGGTTCACATATTTCAGAGGCAAAAAACAATTTTTCAATTATTTTTTTTCTGCAGTCACAGCTAAAAACAAAAAAAAACAAAAGATAGAAAGATAAA